GGAAATACTATGCTGCTCCCGTTTGGGCAAAAGTCCTTTTACACAAAGCTTTTGCGCAAAAGGGCCTGTGTAGACAGCTCAGATTTGTTTTGTGAAAAAAAGCCCCGATCGCGAAAATGGCTTTTGGGACTTTTTTGCGCAAAAGTGCGTCTAGATTGGCATGATGTTTTTCTGCAAAAAGTGCTTTTGTGGAAAAGCATCCATGCTAATCTAGACGCTCTTTTCCGCAAATGCTTTTAACGGAAAACTTTTCCGTTAAAAGCATTTGTGGAAAATCATGCCAGTCTAGACGTAGCCACAGAGTGTGGAAATAGCCCTAGATAGCAGATGTTTTACCAGCGAAGCAGCCTAGCTACTGCAAAACATTGCAGTAAAAACTTGTCTAAAAAAGTAGGCAATACAAAGATTAGATGGTCTTACTATTTATTTAATTTTTTTTAAAATCAGATATATGCTAATGGAAGTATTGCACAACAAACATGAGACTTTCACTTAAAAGTTTAAACTTTACATTAGTTATTAGCTTTTCTCCCCTGCTAATTAGATCTATACTTCCATTCATCTTTCTCTTGCTCCTTAAGTATTTGAAGTATTTTTTGATTTAATAAGCAACTGAGAATGAGGTGTTAGTAAGATTTCTTGACTCCTCTGATTCTAAGACAAAGTGCTACCAACCCTGCCTGTCATAAATTGCAAAAAGGGTGTTTGCTTGTATATACTTGATAAGTCCTCATGTACCACGATTCCAACAATTTTACACTAGATAGCTAGGCTAATTTATGGCTTTGCTTCTAGTGGTCACTTGCTTGAGATAAGACCTAAACTTAACAGACCTTTTGGAAGACATGTGCTGTAAGGAAGGATTTGAATTAAGAGAGAAGTTAGAGAGGGCTGTCAATAAACTGTAAAGAGTGTATAATGCATTTTTCCGGAATAACAGTTGTTATTCTGGAAAAAAAATACTTGCAACCACACTGTTATTGTGTTCTTTTGATAAAAAGTTGAAAGATTGAAGAGGGTTTTTCCAACAGCAGTAAACCTTTTTCTATGAGGAAGAAGCTTTTTTCCAAAATAGCTTTTTCAGAAAAAGGCATGTGTGGATGAGGAAGAGGAAATTCTTTTGAAAAAAGAGGCTTCCAGGAAATAACACAGGTACCCTGGTGGCCACTCCATCCAAACTAATCAGAATTCTATATTTCCTGACTCCTGCCAGCTCTTAAAGCTGCAGGCACAAGGGACAAGGCTTATGGCAGGAAGCCAGCCCTGGGAGCTGCACTCACTGTGTGGCTCTGACTGCCACAGTGCTGCACATCTGTGGTCCAGCCACAAGCCCCCCAAGACCTCCTGGCCCATAGAGGGAGCATGACCTCCCAGGACCCAGCTAGGGGCCAGAAGAGGCATTCACCGTCGTGGTCTGCGGCGGAGATCTTTGCCCTCCTGGAGGTGTGGGGTGAGGAGGAGAATCTCAAAACCTGCAGAATCTCCATTTCTGATAGGCCACCACCCCTTGAGCCTCAAACAAATATGGAGCAAAGTCAAGGAGCTATGCCAGGGCAAGAGAGCACAGCTCTTGCTCAAGGGCAGGACCCCACTCCTGTCCCTACTACACTGAGATCCACTGCATTCTCGGGGGCGTTTCAACCCCTTTCCCAACCCTGGTCATGGACTTGGGGCTGGAGACACTCATCGTTGCCTGCCCAGAGCTCCCAGACCAGGAGGAGGAGGAGGACGATGAGCAGCTGGAGGAGGAGGAGATGGCCAGCAGCATCACCCTCAACCTCGAGCTGGTACCCTAGGGCCTGGATGTCTTGCAAGCATCCTCCAAGGGTGGGGTCGGATCATCAAGTGACTGTTCTCAGTTTTTCACACACACAGGGTGGGGGAAGCGGGCGCCAAGGGGATGGGGTGTGATCGTCAATTGGCCTGGGCATCGTGCTACAATCCGTACACCTGGAAGTAAGTGCAATGCCAGTCTCTGCTACGTGGCCCAGGAGGCACCCCCAAGGACCCTCGGCTTCCTGCTCACAGGCTGTGGGGACGGCACACATATCTGACCCCTGGGAGATGCTCTCCCACCACCAGCCAGTCATTTGTGATCCATTATAATTCCATCATCTTTTTCTGCAGTAATACTGCCTAGCCAATTATTTCCTATTTGATAGTGTGGAAGAAAACATTGTCTTCACTCTGAGTTTGTAAGCAACAAGTAACCAGAGGCAGTTTTATTACGAGCTGCAGCAAGGGAAAAACTGGTTCGGACAGGGGGGAAGCTCCCCCCCCCCGTCCGAGGCAGATCTTCGAATACAAGCAATTATGAAGCAGTTTATATACTGTCTATTAAATATAATAACAATAACAATTAGTCTCCTTCCCATTACAAACACCAATGGCTAACAGTTATTTAGTTCCACCCAGATGCTCCTTATCTCAAGGTCCCTACCAGAGTCAGCATTCTATCCTTATCTCCGTATGGAGGCGAGAGGCGAAGGCAGCGTCTAATTACAGATCTCGCGTTGTCAGGCCACAGACTTAGCCTGACTCTTGCTCTCTTGTTAACAAGACCAAGATGGCTGCACACAAATTCCCTTACTCCCTTTTCCTGTCTGCACATAGTGTATATTTTGTTATTCCTTTCTGAGTCTAGTACTTTGCACTTGTCTTTGTTGAATTTCATGTTGTGGATTTCAGACCAATTCTCCAGTTTGTCAATGTAAATTTGAATTCTATTCCTGTCATACAAAGTGCTTGAAACCTCTCCTGACTTGGTATCACTCACAAATTTTATAAGCATATTCTTCGCTCGATTATCCGAGTCATTAATGAAAATATTGACTTGAAGTGGACCCATGAAAGACCTCTGTAGAATTCCACTTGGTATGGTCTCTCACTTTGACAGTGAACAATTAATAAGTACTCTTTGAGTATGGTCTGTCAATCAGTTGTCCACCTTGTAGTAATTTCATTTAGTCCATATTTCTCCAGTTTGTTTCAGAATGTCAGAATCAGAGATGTTAAGGCCAGAATGTCGGAATCAGAGACATTAAGGCCCACCAAATCATCTAGTCTGATCTGTACAGGCCACCAACACTGATCCTGACTTGAACACAAAACCCAAGAACCCAAAATTAGACCGAAGTATTATACCCCTAGTAGGTTACATTTTTCTGGACCATAGGAGGGACTACGGCGCAGCAGTTTCTACAGCCCCACAATGGCAGGGAAATGATTCAGTGAAATATACCCAGATTCTGGCAAGTGATCTATATACACATGTACAAAGAAAGGCCAAAAACCCCTTAAGCTCATTGCTAACTTGAGCTGGGGGAAATTTCTCCCCAACCTTGGGTACCAAATAGACCTTGAGCACATGAGCAAGAACCACCTAAACAAGCAAGTGAGAAAAAGAATGCTTGGTGCAACCTCAGAGCCCTTGTTCACCCCATCCAATGCTGCATTTTCAGCCATGGCCTTCTCTGGCATTTTATAGGAAAGGAAGAAACACCCTACACCACCCAAACCTAATATATTGGAGGGAGAAAAAAATGCTTCCTTGGCCTCTGTAAGTAGCCGACTGCAATTTTAATCATGAGCTTTTCAGAACATAAGATCTAAACTAATATGAATCCTGGGTCTGCTGCCTCCTGCCCCACCATGCATCACAGGCAACCCTGGAAAAGGTGTCACTTTCATAAACTCCTCAATCTCTTGTGCTACTTTGTCAAAGTCTTACTAAAATCAATTTATAGTATATCTACTCCTTCCTCTCATCCACTGAACCTGTCAAGGGAGGAAATTAGATTGGTTTGACATGAGTTCTTGAGAAATGTACATTAATTCTTACTACCCTATGATTCTTTGATACCCTATGAATGGTTGATTGTTTAATAGTTTGTTTCCAATATCTTTTCGGGTACTGATGCTAAGATTGCTGAACTATAATTTTATTGGGCTACTTTCTTCTCATTTTGAAGATAGGTACTTTGTTTGCCCTCTCCATTCCTCAGGGACCTTGCCTGTTTTCCAGAAGTTCTAAAAGACGGTTTTGAGATAGGTTCAGCTAGATCTTGATGTACTCCAGGATAAATTTTGTCAATTTATTCCAACTTAAATACAACTAAGTTATTTATATACTGTATTCTTTAACCCATTCCTTCACTCTTTGTTAATATTAATTATGTTAAGCATTGGGTCATAATTAACATTTCTATTGCAGATGGAAGCAAAATAGGCATTAAACACCCGAGAATTCTTGGTGTCATCTATTATTAGATCTCTTTTCTTGATAACTAGTGAACTTATACTTTTATTCATCTTTGTCTTGCTCCTCAGATTTAATTCTCCCATCTTCTAAAAAGCCTCACTTTCTGAGACCTGAAGCTAGGGGCATTAAATTTCCCTGCCTTCCCCATTCCAACTAGAAATGCTAGTATTGTGCCACCATGGCAATTTGTCCCCTGTCACAACGTAAGGGTGGGTGAGGGAGTTACGGCAAGCTATACATAGGATTATGGCTAATGAATTTTGACCTATCTCCCTAGCATAAACTATCCAAAGCTGGTTAGGCCATGGAAAGGCCTTCATGACAATTCCTTCTGATTTGAGTACATTACATATATGAAGAAGAGTTTCAGTTTTCATTTTAAAAGAAAGATACTATCTCATTTCCTTGTAAAAATGTCTTGAAAATGTGAGCCAATATAAACAGATCACAAGGGCAGAAATGAATAAGTTTTATGTAAGCTGAATCAGCTGTAAGTTTGCCAAAGAATCCTCTCCTCTAATCCTTCCCATAACCTCAGGTCAGGATTGTGCTTAGTTGCAGCTACATTTAAGCAATGCTAAAAAATTATTTTGCAACCTTGTAAATTATAAAGACAGCTCTGTTGCTTCTGCACTTTGAGGCAGCCTGGTGTCCAGGGAAGTGTGGATACCAGCAGAGGGGCTTCCTGTGATTGGCTTCTCCCTCTACTGCTTTATTTTTCTTCTATGTGGCAGATTTTACATGCTAGAAAATGGGACAAATTACAGTTTGGACCAATTGGTATTTTCTTATCAAAATATTAAAAGTGGTAATCAAGATTAAGGGCCAAGTTACATGTACTACGTTAATTACAGACATTAAGAACTGTCAGGCCTTAGAGGACTAAGGACCTAATTTCATACAACTTCAGAGGCTGTATACTCATTTTATGCTGAGTAAAAGCAATAGGATGCTAAATCTTTAAAACTAACTCTCAAATTTTACAGAATATGTGTTGTAAAGATGATTCATATAAAAAAAAACTAAAGGAGAATTTACCATATCAGACAAACAACTGGAAAGGTTTGTAGATCAATGGAGAAAAGATTAAGAAAATCAAAGAAGATATAAGGTAAGTAAGACAACTATGTATTCTTACAGCATTCCAAAACTGAAAATGGAAACTGTTTGGGGAAAGGGTGGGAGCAACAGAGAATGAAATGAATACCTATATATTTTATCAGTAGTCAAGAACATGTATGTATGTGTCTAATTTGAATATATGCACAATGATGTGTGTATAAGAATCTGAAGAGCTAGGGCCTGAGACCACAGGACATCTGGGCTACTGATACCTCCACATGACTGCAGTGTACTTAGGCTGGCCTCTTGTGGCAGGACCCAGTGAAGCTGGTTCTAGCAGGCTGTATGGCCTAGCAGGACCTTAGTGGCAGCTTATTGCAACCCCTTGGTTGGCTGGCACCAGTACTTAAGCCAGAAAGGCATGATAAGGAATTGCCCGAACAACATATAGACAGCTTGTCTGTCTTGCATCAGAACCTGCCCATGAGAGATACCAGATTCTGGCATCTGGTTGCCTACTGATGCCTAACTCTAGAGGGTTTTCCCTCTGGTCTGTCTTGGACCTGGACTGCCTGGTAACGTGACCCTGTCTGTCTCATGACACCTGAACCTTGGTTTTCCCTCAGTACCCAACTTGGCCTGCTTCCCATTCTGACTGATCTGACTACCCATGCGCTGTTGTGACCCTTTGTGTGGGTGGATATATTCTGCCACAAACACTTGAACAAATATAGTCATGTGTGCATAAATATCTGTGCCATTTTCATAATTTATTTATTTATTTATTTATTTATTGCTGAATACCTTTTTTGGTTATATAAATATCTGCAAAAGACAACAAAAAGTGGTTGTCAATAGCCTTCAAGGTATTCCATGTTTTTAATCAAACAAATATTTGCAGATTCTTTTTAATATTAATTGTCCAACTTTAATGATCAAAATTTTATTCTTAATATTACACATACAGTTCAGATTTTGGCTTTCTTCTCTAAAATCAGATATGTGGTAATGAGTATTTAGTGTCCTGCATTTAAATATAACTTAACTAAAATGTCTTTGATGGACTTGAAATTTATTTTAACTTATGCGATTACTTGGAATGAAAAATATAAAGATTCTGGGTGGCTAATTAAATGGAGGGAAGACATTAAAAGCGCTGTTTTTAGCTTCTTATTTAATGTATTGAATATTTCTTGGGCTATGTAGAAGTGGCTGTGAGTTTAACTGTATCTGCTCCTATATTCTGTGGTTCACTAAGCCCTGGCCCCCACTAGGGAATTATTTTGAAATAACTCCCCTTATTTCAAAATAACAAGCCAAGTGACCATACTACCAAACCCGTTATTTTGAAATAAGGGATTGGTTATTTTGAAATAATAACTCCTGCTTTTCTCGAGGAATAATACTTTTTTCAAAATAGTTATTTTGAAGTAGCTGTAGTATGGATGCACCACTGCTGCTATTTTGAAATAACTACTCCCGAGAGTCATTCAAAGTAATTTCTCTTTAGTGCTTCCTGGGGCTCTAAGTTGAGGTAGTACATCCACATAAAGAGCGTGTCTAAGTGTAAGTCATTATTTCCAAATAATGGTGAGCTGGAAGACTTCTTACTCCAACTGCTGTAACCCTCATTTTACAAGGAGTAAGGGAAGTGGAAGGAAGAGTGTTCTTCCTTCAAGTTTCTGCTGTGTAGACAGCACCAAAAGCTGAATTAAACTCTTTCGACTTAATCTATGCGACCTTAGCAACATCAGTTGTGTAGTTTAATTCAACTTTTTCCCTGCAGTATAGAAGTATAGACATACATTAAGGGATTTTGTCTCAGACCAATTTCAAGGCTTCCCTATAGTGTGGACATGCTATTTTGAAATAACTATTTTGGTAGTTATTGTTTCAAAATAAGTTTTAAAAAAATAATTTCTTAGTGTAAACATGCTGTAAGAGCGTACACTTTAGCTTCTTGGATCCCATCTGTTGCCTTTTTTGGGGGAAGACCCATGTCTCTCTGGGTATGTCTACACTACAAAGTTAATTCGAACTAACGGACGTTAGTTTGAATTAACTTTGATAGGCGCTACACTAGCGCTCCACTAGTTCGAACTTAATTCGAACTAGCGGAGCGCTTAGTTCGAACTAGGTAAATCCCATTCCATGAGGACTAAGCCTAGTTCGAACTTACTAGTTCGAATTAAGGGGGTGTAGCCCCTTAATTCGAACTAGTGGGAGGCTAGCCCTCCCCAGCTTTCCCTGGTGGCTACTCTGGCCAACACCAGGAAAACTATACTGCCCCCCTCCCGGCTCCGGACCTCTTAAAGGGGCACGGGCTGGCTACGGTGCCCGTGCCAGGTGCAAGCCTGCCAGCACCCAGCCAGCAGACTCTCCATCTGGCACGGCTCGAGCCAGCCACCCGATGACCCCAGCCCTCCCCCTCTTCCCGGGACCAGGCTGGCGGCTCCTGGGAGCCTGCCCTGGTCCACAAGAGGCGGGCACCCGTCTGGTCCAGTGCAGACATCGTGGACCTCGTCCACGACCTCTGAACTAGGCACAAGAAAGTGGCCGTCTAGGGCAGGAGAGCTGCCAGTATGGCCACCCAGGAGCAGGTGTGCATGAAAATCAAGGTGGTCCAGTGAGACCCCCGACCCTGAGCCCTGAGCTTACAATGGCCGTACTGGGTCAGACCAAAGGTCCAGCTAGCCCAGTAGCCTGTCTGCCGACAGCGGCCAACACTAGGGACCCTGGAGGGGATGGACCAAAGACAGTGACCAAGCCATTTGTCTCATGCCTTCCCTCTCCAATCTTCCACAAACTTTGGCCAGGGACACCATTCCTACCCCCTGGCTAATAGCACTCCATGGACTCAACCTTCATGACTTTCTCTAAGTTCCCTTTAAACTCTGTTCTAGTTCTAGCCTGCACAGCCTCCTGCAGCAAGGAGGTCCACAGGTTGACTCTTTGCTGTGTGAAGAACAACTTTCTGTTATTAGTTCGAAACGGGCTACCCATTCCTTTCCTTTGGTGTCCTCTAGTCCTTTTATTATGGGAACTAATGAAGAACTTTTCTGTATGCATCCTCTCCACACCACTCATACTTTTAGAGACCTCTATCATATCCCCCCTCAGTCTCCTCTTTTCTAAGCTGAAAAGTCCCAGACTCTTTAACCTCTCTTCATATGGGACCTGTTCCAAACCCCTGATCATTGTAGTTGCCCTCCCCTCTCCCACCCTCTCTCTTCCCCTCTCCCACCTCCTTTTCCCAGTCTCCCCCAGTTTTGTTCAATAAAGAGAGAGTCTATTTTTGAACACACGTTTTCTTTATTTTGTACATCAGGAAGGGGGGCTAGGGAAGGGTAAGTGGAAGGAGGTGAGGGAGGAATGGGGTACAAGCCCCCGATGGGGAGGACTGGGCTGGCTCTGCTGGCTTCTGGCAGTGGAAGCTCTCCTGCAGCCCCCCCATTGCCCCCTCTCCCCAGATGGCAGCCTGCGGCAACTGCAGCCGGGTTGGTGGCCGAGTGCTGTGATGTGCCAAGTGTGGGTACTCTGGGCACTCCAAGCCAGGACTGCTTTGCAAGCAGGGAACCCCTGAGAACTGTCTGTCCGGGGTGGGGGTCAGGACCCTTTAAGCACAGCCCTCGGCTAGCCTGAGACAGCAGCTCCACGCTCTAAGTCCTCATCTGATGCCCTGCCGGCACTGCTTCCGGCCATCCTTAACTCTGTTCAGGGTCCACTCTGTGTGGACATGCTAATTCGAACTAGTTTTTAAGTCTAGCTGCACTAATTCAAATTAGCTTAGTTCGAATTAAGTTAGTTTGAATTAGCGCTGTAGTGTAGACATACCCTCTCTTCCTGATGGTGGGGTATATAAAGCTGTATATTTCCCTGCCTGTAATGCAAGATACTTCACCAAACCTTGTATCTAAAACTGGCATCTACTCCAGAGGCTTGTTCCATTTTTGGGTACCGATACCCCTTACCAATAGTCAGAGATTAGTGATGTGTGTTTTCTATGAGTTTGTGAGGAACACGGCAGCCAGATGCACAGGTCTGATGTTAAGCATGTGTACTAATTTGGGGGCAAAGTATGTAGGATCTGCACTGTGCTTCATATTCCTGTTTTGCTACAATTGAGTACAGAATTTAGACTTTACAAATATTCTCTAGCACTTTTGTAAACCTCAAAAAAATTACAGATTTATTTAAGATGCTAAGAAATACTCCAGTAAGTAAATAAGGTCTATTTCTATGCCCATTGAAGTGAATGGGAATTGTGCCATTTCAAAATGTCAGAAGTAGCAGTATTTTAATAGTCATTTTACAATAATGGAAATGAAAAAAAAAAAGATGAGGTGTTTATTCTTGCTTTCTTTGAATAACCCTCTCCCCAACTAGAACATAAAAATAAAAGTTGTGTGTCTTGATTGTATTTCTTCTCCCTCCATATAGGTAAGTAATAACTGAACACAAAAGAAAGCATCCAGCAGAGCTATTTGCTGCCATCTTCATTTTATCTTATCGGAACCTGCTAAAAAAAAAAGCAAAAAAATCCCCATCTCTAGAAAACAAAAGTAAAAATCAAGCAGAGACCACGAGGCCAAAATATCTTATGCCTACTGTGCCTCACCAGTTTATTTAACAACAAATGAAAAAGAAGACAGGCCCTTGATGGCTTCTAGCCAACAGCTACCTTTCTTTGGCTGTGTTCATTTAATTCTTTAGTCAGAAAAAATGTATGTCAAGTATAATAAAAAGTAAGTTAAAATATACAAATGTATAAGTGGTATTTCCCTGTGGTACAATTTACACTCATAGCTCTCTCTTTCTAACCCAAGCAGTTGATGACAGCTAAATGGGGGAGTGGGACATAGATAAGTGATTATCTGCCATTTTATATCTGCCAAACAATCTTTCCCCCATGTAATTCTGAAGGAAGAAATGCTCTGAAGCATTTTGTAATAATTTAAATAATAGACGTATCTTTATTAGTTTCTGTTAATGGTAATAAAAATATCCAGATGTTCATTTAAATTTCAATTAATAATGAAAAATGGCACTGCATGCTCAATTTTAAATATTTGTTTGCCATTTATTATTTTATTATTTGAAATGCAGTTGCATCCATTCAGGGCTCTGTTGTGCTAGGTGTTATACAAACCCTAAGGCTGCTGTACACAAGTGGGCTTTATAAGGACCTGAGCTCAAGCCCCTTAGAGGGAAAGGGAGTCTTTCCACTGACTGAAATGACTTTGGATCAGGCCCTATGTTGTTGTGTTATTTATTTTAAGTTATTTGCTGGGGCTGTATTCTGAGAAGCACTAGCAATGTTTACAGATCGCTATGAAGCTGGTATTCTACAAGTGCACAGACTGTTGTAGTAGCTGCAGCTATTCAATACTGTCTCAACTACTTTTTACAAAATTCTCCAAACAAACCCTATAAACACATTCTTCATCTCAGCTTACCTCCAGGCTCTTTAGAAACGGTATAAATGAACTGATACTTTCATGAGTCAGAAAGTCAAATAAGAACACTAACACTGCATTTCAGACTGCAGCACTCTCAACTGGGAGTGAGTTCTGCAACTATGAAACCTGATCGTTAAAAGCCTTGAAGACATAAAGTACAGTATGTTTTAAAATGGAAGGTAGAAAGCCCAAGAACACCAATATCAACGAATCCCATGAAACAAGGTGTTAGAATGCCTTTCAATAGCAGTTCTTTATGAAGTGCCAAGCCATGTTATATTGTACATATAAAAAGTGTAATCTTTTACCCAATGTGTTGATTACCAGGCAGTGAATGCAGGAATGAAATCATATGCTCTGAAAATTCTTAGTGATAAGTATATTACTGTGTATAAATCTAAAAATAGTAAAAAGAAGATTTAACTGCTAAATTCATAGATGAAGGCTGCAGCAGTATTTTGTCTTCGATATGTCAAACTATGTCAGAAATTATATAGGATAGAATCTGAAAAAGGGATGAATCTGAAATCAGTTGGGCATAAATACAAGCAAGTGCCCATGTTGGGATCCTGCTTTTCAGAGAGCCTGAAAGCTCTCGTCTCACAGTTCATCTTCATTGTTCCTGACAGAAATTATGGGGGAAAGGTAATTCTCCATTCAGCAGCCTCTTTAGTAGCTTGGGGCCCTGTGGACTTTGCATGGGGCTCTGCAAAGTATAAACTCACCCTTTATTATGAAAGCAACTGATTCCTGCTAGTGAAGGTTCATAACCAGTATAACTCTGTCTTCTTCTAGAAGCATACTAGGTTGTGGGCCTTCTTATTGTCAGCTCCCTTTTTTGGGGGGTGGGGGAGGGTGGGAGGGAAGGGACATTAAGGATGAAAGCTTGGTCTTAAGGTGGAAACAAATACTGTCTTTAGAATCAAAAACATTTTTAATTGTTTGAATTAGAGGAAATTCATAACTAGTTGATGTATTATCCAGTCCAGAAAACATTGCCACATAATGGTTACATTGTCATAACCAGTGTGAGTTCTCCCATTGACCATGACAATAAGGCCAATGCCCCAAGTAGGCATGTGCTTAATGCTATACACTGTAAATATTACCATGCAACTGAAATTACTCTGCACTACTGAAGGCTGAGTTGAAATCAGTTGGACTACTCATATGGCTACGTCTACACTGCAGGCTTCTTGTGCAAGAACTGTTTTGTGGAAGAGTTCTTGTGCAAAAGGTCTTCCACAAGAGCGTGTCCACACTGCCATGTGCTTTTGCACAAGAGCGTCCGTGGCAGTGTGGATGCTCTCTTGCGCAAGAAAGCTCTGATGGACATTTTAGCCATAGGGGTTTCTTGCACAAGAAATTCATGTTGCCTGTCTACACTGCTTTCTTGTGGAAGAGCTCTTGTGCAAGAGGGCTTATTCCTCATGGGGAGAGGAATAACTCTTCCAGAAGAAGTCCTGTTTTCCGATGCTGTACTGTAAATTTACTTGAGCAAGAACGAGCATGAAGTGTAGACGCTCTGCAAGTTTTTGTTCTTGTGAAAAAAGCCTGCAGTGTAGATGTAGTCAAGGGTGCAATGTCTTTGGACAATTTCGCCAATGCTGGAAAAAACATATATTTATTTAGCTCTGTCTTTCAGCTAAATTTGTAGGTGGTCAGCAAACAAAAATTCCATTTTGTTATATTGGGAGTTAAGTCAAATTTAGTAATTTTGAAATAATTTCCTAGTGTAGACATGGCCACAGAATTTGTAAAGTTTACTCCTGTTGACCATAACTTAATACCCTTAGCAATCATAAATAACATTCTTTAGCTTTTTAATAATTTATACTGCGCAGCCATTTATAAAATGTTAACCATTAAATCAGGGGCCAACCCGCGGCTCTTGAGCTGCATGTGGCTCTTTGCTCCAAAAAATGCAGCTCTTGCTAGTTCTGAGCCATGTGCCTGGACTGCTCATGGCCGGCCACTCTGCACATGCCCCAGTGCCTGGAGGAAGAAGTGCATAGTGGTGGCAGCTGCTCCAGTGAGACCCAGAGTGCGGGGGGTGGGGAGTAGAGTGGGGGTGCCTGGCTCTGGTGAAGAGGAAGGGGATTGGGTTAGAGCAGGTGGGCTGAAGCACCTTGAACTCAAAGTCTTCATGGATGCAGAATAAGGCAGCCAACCCAGATGTCGTATTTAAATTGGTTTTTGTCCAAAATGTCCTGTGATGTTATTTTTATCACTACGTTTTGTGAACTCTATCTATCTATCTATCTATCTATCTATCTATCTATCTATCTATCTATCTAATTAATTACGTGGGTCTTTGCACTCTATCCACAGCTATTTTGGCTCTGGTTGGCCATCCCTGCATTAAATAACTAACAGTGAGTTTAAAAGTATATCTTTGAAATGTGAGTCATAGTAAACTGAAATAACAATGGGGAGAGCAAATGTTTTATTCAGACCAGAGCAAGAGATTATACTGGTCTTGACCTTACAAACTATATATTTTAACCTTGTGTTTTGGTACAGGATCCTTTAATAAATAAAGACAATTAACTAACTTCAGCCAGCATGTAAGTGAGCAAAATTCTCATTCAAACTATCATTGAGTTGCACCTGCTTCTACCTGGACTTAGTTGGATCCTTCATCAAAAGAAATATGTGTGTGGGGGAAGAGATATGTTTCCGGTAAGAGTCTTAATTATGGATTTCTCATATTTTTTGTGTTTGAATTTTATACAAAATTTTTCATACATGATTTTCTCCTTCTTGAATGGTATTTATTTTAAAAACATCCTGAGCCATCCAATTTGTTAACTTCACTAAGACAGCATAAAATAAAAAGGGAGCATTTTCCAAAAAATAAATAAATAATTCACAGTATCATCTGCTTAGAAATAATAACCTACATCATAAGAGCAAGGGGCCATATAAAAAGCTCTTGAGAGCTCTGTAATTGACAGGAACAGTATCAGAAGCACACTTATCTGAGGTGACAAACTGGTACTGCTGAGATAAAGGAAAGAATTAGACTGTGGCAAAGCAACTTCTGAAAATCTGCACTCTGAGAGAGCTACTGTAATCATACTAGAAACAAACCTCTGAACGATTAAGAAGAATTCCAATTGTAAGTGTGGCAAAATCAGTTGATAATTGCATAGCTCCTTCAAAGCTGGTGGTTCTTTAATTTGTTCTATTACTTGATTGAATTTTAATGATATTATCTGAAAGAATATTTCATAACACTCAAAGAAATAATCATAGAATACTTAGACTGGAAGGGATCTCAAGAGGACATCAAGTTCAGTCCCTTGCACTCAGGGCAGGACCAAACATCATCTAGATCATCCCTGACAGATGTTTAATAAATTGTTAGATTTTGCTTGAGAGATGTGCACAAATTGGAGAGAGTGTAAAGAAAGAACTACAATAGGTTTTTAAAAAGCTGATCTACGAAGAAAGATTTAAGAACCCAGCACAAATTTAACCTTGAGAAAAAGACAACTGAGGGGGGACCTAATGGACTTAGAATATGCTAAGGGCTGTTCTAAAGATGATGATCATTGTTCACCACATCACGGGAAATAGGATAAGAAGTAATAGACTTAGTGTGTAGCAAGAGAGATTTAGATAAGAGATTAGGGACAACTTCTAACTATTAAGATAGCTATCCAAGGAGGCTCTCCATCATTAGAAGCTTTTCTGAAAAGTGGGGACATAACACTGTCAGGCAATGTTCCCTTTAATCCTTTCCATCCATGTGCAGAATAATTTAATGTACACTAAAGTATGTGCGAATGTGCACTCCCAGTAGAAACAAACAAACAAACAAAAACCTAGCTGTGGGCTCTCTGCTAATTAGCTTTTACACAAATGCACAGCTTACAGGAAACACTGCTGTGAAGGATGGTCTAGGAATACTTAGGTCCTGCCTCAGCATGAGGAAGATGGACAAGATGACCTCTTATGCCCTACATTCTTTTTGATAATTTTCTTAATTGTATAAAATTTCATATTTTTAAGATGGAGAACAATGCTTTCTTTTTGAATTGTCATTTTTTTCAGCATTTGACCTATTAAAATTAAAAAATCCCTACAAGAACAGCTTCTCACTTATGGCAGAAACTTCCAAAGTTGCCTTTGTGTAAGCTATACATAGAGGAATTCATTTTCACGTATTCAAAGTCTTTGATGAGATCCGAGTCATCTAGAATTAGATCAAAACAATGGCATTTAATACCAGTTATTTGCAGCCATAACTATATTATTGCTGTAGTTTTCATAACAAACTGCTCATTTTTTGTCTGTATTATTCAAGCTCTGTTGAGGGAATATTCATTAAAAGCGAAAAGTGGACAAGAACTTTAATGAGCTCTCTTTATTGTTTTCTAAGCTCTCCAAGTCAGTCAGCTGTGAAACATATGTAGGGCTAAATTTCAACCTATTTAGCACAAAATTTGACAGGTATACCCATGGTAACAGGGCCAGTTCTGTAGCTACAGTAAAATAGCTCCATTGCTGAGGACATGGCCTGACATTTTTGCTTGCAAGACAACGAGGGCACTATGGGGCATGATTTTAAAAATATAGACTTTCAGTGTAAGCTAGCAAAGAGAGCATGTAGGTGTAATTAGTTATTTAGCAGCCAACATTTTGTGCCTTCAAATGCAATGGCAAATTCTATGCCAGGGGAGCAGCCCATATATCAGCTGATCTATAGTAATTCATTAATGCAGCCTCATATTTTTGACCAATCCCGGGAAAGGAGCGATGTAGAGTGCATTAACATTTGTAGGCTATGCATTCATTTCCTTAATTTGCTGGAGAAAAAGTGTTTCTAAAGTGTGGTTTTGACACACAATTCTGAATTTCTGAGAGAAGTTATAAAGGGATCTGCCAAGCACCAATGGTGAAACCTCTAATCATTAAAGTGATAACTACCCTCCAATACCTGTCTACAAGTGTCTGTCAAAGAATTACTGGGGAGAGCACAGATAAATTAATGCATTCTGTTAGTTTTATTTAGAATAGACAAAAGTATTTGGAAGTTTTAATCATTACAGCAATATCACCATGAGCAGCAAGCAGTGAGACAGTTTGATGACATAACTAACTTACCAGTCCTGAGAATTGTTTGATGAAATGAACACTAATTCCTATTCCTAGACATAGTCATCACACATGGTTATCCTGTTGGGAATCAATGTATAGACCATTGTTGATGCAAAATACCTTGCCACATATATAAGAGCTGAAAACTCAGGCACCTGTTTCAAATCTTACATTCTCAGGTCTGGCCTTATAGGAAAATTTGACCCTGAGGAGAGGTATTGTGGCTGACTAATGGCTAACCAGTGGTTGTCATTTACAAGCTTATTAATAAGTTTATAATCTGTGATACTGTTGAAGACTCTGTTTCACAATAAATATACTATTTTTTTGTTGGAGAGCGTGTTTAACCTTTTAACATCTCATTAAAGAGGACTCCTTTTCTAAATCATCAGTGTCTGTCAGACTAGTATGATGGTGCTAAGGATTTTGCCATCATAGACATCATAGGATAATTCCTGTGGCACATTTCAACACCAACACAAAAGATCTGTGAGATAGTTCCAGTATAGTGCAAATAAGGTAGCCAGCAGTACCTTTGAAAGCTGGAGCTACCCATAATGTTCAATTTAGTGGGTCTTAAATAAATCTGTTTAATCAAATGCCAGAAGATTGATCTTTGGCACAAGTATAGAAGTGGTCTCGGAGACTGTTCATTTCTGTTGGGGAGGTATTGGAGGAAAGGAAGGAAAAATGTCATGTCTATATTAGGTTTTAGTTATTTGCAGATATTATGCTTGGACTAAAAGTAATATTCAGTGTTTTGTACAAGATGTTTATGTCAATGTAGCCGAATTTTTGTACCGTTATTGTCTTGCATTTAGCACATATCCTTTAGTGAATATAGTACAAGAGAACATACCGAGAGCTTTTTTGAAAATATTTTAACACTGTGAAATTAAAAAAAATCACATTATTAATTTGAAGGCTAAAATAAAGCGTGGTAAATACCAAATTTTGTAGCTTTTAATCTACTAATTCAGATAAATCCCAAATTAATTTAAATTTAGAAATGCCTCTCCATCTGTAGTGAAAGCATGGTCTCAATTATATACTGAATTAAATAAGAGATAAGAAGATTTTTGAGAGCTTGAAATTTATGGTTTCATTAGGCTGAAAAATTAAACCTAAAAATGTGTAAAACCCCACATTAATCATTTCGTTTCAGAACATAAATGTAAATGGATTGGAACACAGCTTCATTTCAGATTGTAAGTAATAATTGCCTAGCAACACTGCAGGAACTTCATTAGATGCCATGCTTAATAAAAAGTGGGGAGCACCAGGGACCTGCACAACAAGAGGATTATGATATTTAATCAGCCCAAAGTTGTAGTCATAAAGCTTCATTAGGTAACACTTTCAAAACCTGAAATCAGGGGGGATGATCTGAAACAGGAGTAAGTGAACTATTCACAAATAGCAAGTCAAGTTATGCAATTAATCTCACCCTTTTTTCTGTTCATGACCAGCTTTATCTATCTATCTATCTATCTATCTATCTATCTATCTATCTATCTATCTATCTATCTATCTATCTATCTATCTATCTATCTATCTATCTATCTATCTATCTATCTATCTATCTATCTATCTATCTATCTATCTATCTATCTATCTATCTATCTATCTATCTATCTATCTATCTATCTATCTATCTATTTGTTGCTAGAAACTATTTACCAGGGTGGGTAGAAATCTCTTTCAGCTAATCAATAGCTTACATACTACTCACTGAAACAATTGTTTCATACATTTGCTAATCAAAATATGGGATTTATGGAGCGTTATAGTTATCAAGTGTAGACATACCCTAAGGGAATATTTTTAATTCACTATACCTGGTGTTGAAAAGTTGCATGCTGATATATTTAATACCAAACATAAATTGCAGACTTTTTAGTAATATGCTGGTTCCTCTCTGTATTTATCTATATATTTTAGAAATGTACACCTCTCTGTCCATCTGTTCAGCATGTTTGTTCAAGAACTCCTTCTAAATGGTAAGAGCTAGGTATGCAGCTTCCTCTTATTGGGACCAGGTGGGGAATGGAGGAGTGGGGGAGACAGCCCTGCTGGATCACTGTTTTCCCCTCCTAACTTCTGCTTCTAACCCTCTGTCTTTTGCTATACTTTTCCCAGGAATGTTCTTCACCTCTCTGTATTTGAGTCGAGTTTTCATTTCTGGTGTCTGGCATTGTCAGAAGCTGGAAACAGGAAATGCAGGGAACACCCTGATCAGTCCTCCACTCCCCATCCGACCATGGAGCATATTGCTTTGAAAGGATGGCACATCTACTGTCTAATATGTGTATAGAATTGTGATACGATGGAGCATACGCAGAACAGATGGAATCTTCAGAAAATTTAGCTGCCAAACTCTAACTCATCTCTACTGAGCATGTTTAAATTGAGATTTGGGTAGAGTTTCGCATGGGTAATTAAAAATGTCCATCCCCAACACTAGGGCAACCTCTTACCAGATTTCAAGTCTCTGATCCAAAGTACAGACATGTCAGTTAATATTTTTAACTTATAATCATACAGCCTCTTGCATGAATACAGATGCAAAGTAGCTGGTAGAATGATGGAGTGGTTGTGTAACTGTCTTATTTTGCTCACACACCTCCCATTCTGTAGTGTATTTGGATAACTCCTGTTTCAGAAGAAATCAATCCTCTCTTCCTACCAGCACTGAAAAGACCTGGAGCTGAGGGAAAGGGGAAGAATCTAAAAATATTAACAGAGGTTTGGTGTAATTGTATATGCTTCATCTGTTAGAAAAAACAGCTATTACACAGACAGAAAACTGAAGTACACTGATATGAGAATCTCTTGGAAGAATCTTGCGGTAGTACATAACACAGCACTTCATACTGAAGAGGAAAATAAGTATTAAGAATGGCTTTGGCATAATTCCACACAGTCTTTCTGGGAAATGAACACATTAAGAAATTTTAAGAGCACTAAACTACTATATGGTGTTCAGACATCCTGGAAGACTGCATGCTGCAAAAATCAGCACACAGCCTTGGAAAGAGAAAGAATCACAGTTCATTGAAATCTCCCTTTTCAACTTTACACTACATCCCAAAACTCCAACCTCAGTTACTGATCATTTTTTATTTTGGTTGTTTACAGCAAACAGCCATTATGCATATAGAAAAAACAGTTAATGGGGTTGGTCCTGAATGCAATTACTGCCATGAACATTGTCATTGAGTTCAATGGGACTATGTGTGAAAGTAACCTTATGCTTGGAGATAAATGTGTCTGAGTAAGCCCCAAAGGAACCTGACCACTCTAAGAATTTTTGCTGCCTTAAAAACTACAGCTTCTAATATTCCAGAGACAAATCTAGTCATTAACCTTTAATTATAACTCTAGACAGAAACACACAAATAATACACAGCTTACAATAATATTGTATGTAACATTGAATGCAATATTAATAGCAGAACAGCTCCAGTGGTGTGGGAACAATTTTTGGCACCCCTGCTTACTTCTGTCAAACCCCTTACCACTCCTTAGAGCTGGGGCTAGCAGCTGGGACCTCACCTGGGGGGCCAGCAGCCAAGATTCTGGGCTTAGCTGCTGGGTGGGACTCTCCATACAGGACTTTGCGGTGGGGCCAGCAGCTGAGCAGGACCCATGGCAGGTGACTGAGACCTTACACATGGAGATGGCAACCAAGCAGGACCCAGGACTAGAAGAAGAGTCCTCACACAGGAAACAGTGGGGGCGGCTAGAACTCTTGGCAGCGGGGACATTTGGCTGGGATGTCAAAAACCTGTGGGTGCTTGTGACGAGGCGACCTCGCCCATCACATTCTCCGTGGCCGGACAGGTGCTGTTCGGCCTCCGTGCTGGGGAGGCTCATCCATGTGCGGCTTGCTCCCACACCGCTCAACCGTCGCCCCGGGCTGACATCATGGTAGGAGACATCAGGGATGGCCCAGGGTGGGCAGAGGGAGCGGGGGGAGGCCCCGCCCCCAAGGGAAGATGGGGTGGCACGGTCAGCGTTGGGCGGGGCTGGGATGATCCACTGGCATGACCCCTGCCGATGATAGGGAGAATGGGGAGGGAGCAGCGTTTTAAAATGCTGTCACCCGGACCAGGAGGGGGGGGTCCGGGCTACAGAGGAAGAGGCCGTCCGTGGCCAGAAACTGATGTCCCCCTCCAGCAACTCTGTCTACAAAAGGGAAGGTGAGCTCCGAGGTAGGGGGCTTCCAAGGAGAAGGGAAGTAGCCCAGGGCGGAACACCCCACCAGCCAGACCGGATCCCCATAGATCCGAGTCCTTAGGACCCTGGGATGGGGCCCGTGAGTGAGGGCGGGCCTGGGTCCCCTCTTCCCCCTCCTCGTGTCCCCCGCCGCAGCGAAGAGTGTATTGCGGCAGTAACGAGAACAGAGAGAAGAACGACGGCAATGGTACTGGACTGGAGCAGTGACAGTAGAGCCCGACGCATAAACGGATCCCCACTGAGGGATTGACGGAAGGGGGGCACGGGATGGGCCACAGTGCTGCAGCAGCCACTGGACTCTTACTTCCTGCACCTGTGAACAAATCAAATATCTAAACACTGCTGTGGACTTACACAGATCAAATATCTAACTACTGCACATGGACGTACATTCTATTTCTTAATGGTTATAGAATTTGAATCAAACCTCTGCTATTAACACTCTCTGGAAATAGTTTATAGTCCCATGAATATTTCAGAAATGGCTATTCCTCTCATAGCTTAAATTTGTTCACAATTATTCTGAAAATATATTAGCAGTAAACAGGATCAGCTCATAAGCACTTTGTAAACAAAATGCTAAATTCACAGAATAATGTATTCCCAATTAGCTCTAGCTGACTAATTATATATAGGCAATGGCTGAACTTTATGTTCTTTACAATGAAAATTTCTGATTTTTTTTAATACACAGTTCCTGGATATGGTCACCAGCTGTCCTCAGCCTCACCCACACACACATCAAAATTTGATAGCTAGAGTGAATGGCACATTATAGATTTTAGACATGAGATGAAATTAAAAAAGAACTTTCATCCGTATTACAATAACAACTCTGCTGCAACAGTATCCTAGGAGGCACTTTATGGGAGGAAAGATGGAATGTCTGAGACCATTGTTAAAAACAAAGTGACAGCAGTGTGGAAGAGATATGGCATGTAAAAAGACTCCCAAATTAAACCTTTTAGGACAATTTGGTGCTGAGCTATGCACATGATTCTAAAAACCAGATACATTTATCAGAGTGATGCTACTGATTTCACTGAAGTAACTTTTGATTTGCACTAAAATATATATGAATTGAATATTCCATGTATTCTGAATGAAGTGAATGGGATTGTGTGACATGTAATTTAATGCAGAATTATCAAAGAACACGAAAACTGGAAAGGACCTCGAGAGGTCATCAAGTTCAGTCCCCTGCCCTCACAGCGGGATCAAGCATCATTATGCCATTTTTGGAAGCACCAAACTTGGTCTGAAGGTATTTTATCTGTGCATGGGACTTATTTTAAGAAGCATTTTATAGGTCTACAAACATTCAGTTAAATTTATACCTGGTGTAACTCTGACATCTCTGGAATTACATCAGAAACAAGTTTTGCCCATTATTCTTAAATGAATTAGTTGTGGGTATGAAATTCCATTTAATTTAGCTACTGAATTTTAACAATTGTGGCAGGAATTTAAGTAGTTCCATAGGTGAAAGTGTTTAAGATTGTGTCTATAAACTTTTTGAACATTTGTAAATGTAAATATTGAGCAGTTTTTCATTTTGCTTGCTTTTATTTATTATTTCAATGTGTTACTAAAATATAATGCTTAAATAAATAATATTTTAAACATATATTAATAGACAACAAGCTGGGTATAATATTTTAATTTGTAGAAGGAAGTTAAATTAAAAATAGACATCTGTTGTGAAAAACACAAGCAAAACCTGTAGATTTAATAGAGGCAGTATAGCATAATTTATAGTGAGGGAATGTAATTTCCTGAAATTAATCAGCCCTGAATTAAACCAGCACTGAAAGTACATTAGTCAAAATTTCCAACTTGCTTTGTATGTGCTGCAAAATATCTTTGAAACGGTAACCATGGATATGATTTGTAGCTTCCTGGGGAAAAAAAGAATGCAAAAGTAAAGACACTGTAAAACCCAAGTACCTACTTCCAATCAGTACCATTAATGCTTCCCCTGCAGTAACTTGTCAAAGCCCCTCACAGCCCCAGTTTCTATAATGGTCCTGTTGTGATATCAGTATCTGACATCTTAAGTTGTCATTGAAAGGCAGTATTTTCAGGAAAAGCTTTGTAGTACAAGTCAATAAGAAGGTCTCATGAGGCAATGAAACTTCAGGGGGTAGCTGAGATAGTCTGTTAGGGTATGTCTACACTAGCCCCCTAGTTTGAACTAGGGAGGCTAATGTAGGCATTTGAAGTTGCAAATGAAGCCTGGGATTTAAATATCCCGTGCTTGATT